TCTGTTTTTCCACACATGCTGCATTACAAGACTTACCCAAAAGTATTTCCTAAATTGTCTGTAGGTTTCCACAATAGCGAAGCTACAACAGACATGAGTAATCACAGGGCAGAAATTACTGTTATTTACGCACTGCTGTCACAGTTCTCCATAATTACACAGGTTGACACAGCATCTTGACAACGATAGGAAAAAAGTAGTTTTTATAAAAATTCTGTCAGCCTCCCTACACAGAAGCTTGGCAAATAAAATTACTGCAGCTAAAAATTGGCAAAGCAATCGTCTTCTACTTCTTTCAGCTCTGTCAAAGTTACTGCTCAGAGGATAATCAAAGATACTCAAAGACAAAGAAGTCACATAGGTCTAAACTGTAGTTTTTTTCCTGACAGCATGGCTATGGTCTGGCTATGCAAACCTTGCGTTGTTTACTACTGAAAACAATTATGAAAAAAGAAAGAGTTACAATGGAAGCAGGAAAGGAAGAAGAAAAGAAGGCTGAGAAAGTCCAGCTGTGCAAAAGCAAAACTGGAGCTCGGATTCAAATCTGCAATCTGAAGCACTCCAAAGCTGACCCACGCTGACCACATCTTTTGCTCACTCCTTTGCCTTCCCACCTGGACTGCAATGCTCCTGCCCTGGGTACGAGCAAGGAGAGCAATTTCCCTATGCCTGCAGCTCAGACCAGAAACTCATGGTCTATTTCACTTCTTGGTTTTTTAAACTTAAAATAGAACACTCCCACTGTGATGGGAAGTTACACAGCTTGCTGATTAGTAAAACAAAAAGGAAGCATAGAGCCATTATCACTGACACAGTGCATTGAACTTACACTCTCATTGGCTTTCTTCTTACATCCCTGCTTCAACTCTTTACATGAAAAATGTGTGCAGGTCCTCCATTATATCACAGCAATTTCCAGGGTTTTTAAGTTTGTAAATCTTAAGGTACTTAGAATCCTGATTTAGTTTTGCATCTCCTTATCACATCCTTCATTTCCTAATGTGTCATCTGAATAATAAAAAGTAAAACATACGCTCTCAGTGTGAAAACATTTCTTAAAAAGTTGAGAGAAATTAATGTCATTTTGATGTTCAGTCCATACTCTTTCTAAGTTGAGGCAGCACGGCCTCAGGGCACCCAAACATCATTTGTAGTGTGATGTGGATGATCCTCTAGGATTTCAGATACACTCCTGGCTCTGGAGCTCATGTAAGTTCGAAGTAAATACATACATTTTTAAAAAAATAGAGAAAGCAGTAACACAGTGACTGCAATGAGATTCACAACATTTTAGATTGATACAGACTTACTCCAACTCTTGCAGTCCCCTAAACATCACTCTTCCAGGGTCAGGTTCCGTTGCCTTTACTTACACTGATGGGATATCTGGCTACAAGTATGCCAGCCCTGCTGTACGGATAAGTGCTGTACAAATAGCTAGCTCGAGGCATAAAGAACAGCCTCCTAATGCAAAGCTTTTGTCTTCTGAAATAACTTCCAAAGTGGATCATTACCTTGATTTTCAACTGGACGGTAATTGGAAAAATGGGGGAGGGAGGCAAGATAATACAGTGATCCTTTTCACTATGCTATCATTGAAACACAGCTCTGTATAAAATACAACCTCTGAAAAACAACATAAAGGATATAAGCAAGGCAGAGAAAGGCAAAGTTGGATACTTAAAGAACAACAAAACACATATACAAAAAACAATAATACCAGCATGACTATTAATTCTAGTTATAAGATAGAATGGCTCGACATCAAATGCTGTCCTAGGCTGAGCAGACACACTGGATGCAAAAGCGTATCTGCTATATATGCTTTCTGGAGGCTATATGAGCAGTCATGGAAAATCAATTTGAATACAAATGTAATTTGTTAAAAGAACAGTGGAAATCATTATGCAGGGTCACACTGTCAGCAGTTAGTACAGAAGCAGATGCTGTCCAAAGAGGCAAAGGTGTTCAGTGAAACAGAAGAATGCTGACCTTTAATAGCGTTTGTGATCTTTTCAGTCCTTTGGTATAGCTACATGGGAACAAACCTACAGTTTACCTCTCATGTTTCTCTGCAGCTTTACTCATTGCAGCTCATTCCAGCCACAGAAGAGGCTATACATACACTTTTAAGCCTCAGAGGGAGTGAAGGTTCCCATTGTAACAGAGAAAAAGCAACATCTCTGAAACAGTTCCTTTAAAGTTCAGAAATATTTCATCTCAGGCTCACAGAACACAGCTGTGAATTAAAGCAGAATGGGATCTGCTTGGTTTTGGCAACACCAGCATCATTTCTAGGCACACGATACATAAAAATTCCACATCAAGTGAAGTCAAAACACACAATTACAATTTAAGGATCAGCTCTGTGATAAAGACAACTCAAATGGCAAAACCTTCAGAAGACCCCTTTGCAAAAGCATTTAATGTACAAGCTTGGAATACACTAATTTGCTCACAGCATCATCATCATGGTAGCTGATTGGCTTACCCCATTCCATGAGGTAAATCTGGGAACTAAGATAGCCATCAGTTCTAAATTACGTTTTCCTTCCATTTGATCCCAATCCTCAGTCACTCTTCTGAAACCGATAGCTAGCCCTGTGCTTATTTGTTCCAAAAAGATCCGTGCTAGGACTAAGGAACTTCTGTAGATGAGATGCAGTCCTCCATCTCATCATCATCAGATGAGATGAGAATCTCCTCCATCTGAAATCATCCCTTGTAGACTCTGCAGTCACTTCTGTAGTGACTGCCTGTCCACTGCATAGTGAAACACTGGATTTGCTCTTGCTGCGATTTGACTAAGGAACAGCAACCAAAGCAAATGTAAACCTTCATAGCTGTTTGGAAATGAATATAAAAGGACACCACTTGTTAAAAATGCACTAACACCTTCCTTGCAAGCTGCGTAGTAGAAGTCACAGCACCCTTGAAATCTTATTTCATTGTACACATGCATATAAACACATCTCTGAAGAACAGATTCCTGTTACAGTGCATGAGATTCCTGATTTATCAGACCAGTCACAAAGAAGATTCCCATCTTCACTGAAAGACTCATTACCTGCCCCTCTCCCAGTTCTGTCTCCCCCCTTTATCAAAATGATATGCTGAAACACCGCATATATGTTCCAAACACCAGAAGTAAGGAAAGTATTTGAGATGATATTTATCAACAGGAAGTTGATCATCACCGTTACTTTTCAGTGCTCTACTGAACAGACAGTTTGTATTTTTCATCTGACTGTAGACTTCAAACACTGGTCAGCAATGAACTATGCGACCAAACTTTGATCTGCAGGTAGAATTTATCCCTCAAAGAAAGCAATGAACAACTGGCCAAAGCATACATGATTTTACCACAGATGTTCATGATATACTCATTTTACTTCACTATCTAAATAAACTCATACTCAAAGGATGCACAAAAAGTTTTGTGCTGTTCAAAAACCACTCTCCAAAGAGTTTGTTACTTTACTTATCATGAATTGAGAAGACCTATTAAAAGTTTTAATAGTGAGCAAAATTAACCCACTATGTCAGACTTGTCAAGCAGTATTTTATTCTGCTGCAGCTTAAAAAAAAAAAAAAAAAAAAATTCCTTCTGTTCCATTTTGAAAGCCAAGGACAACCCTTTAGCTGAACAATTACAGCTTAAACAATTGCAGAACAAATGGATTCTTACCTTCTATTTCTTGTCTCTAGAAAATCTATCAAGTTCTCTCTGTTCTGAAGTTACCTAAAAACACTGCTAGATCATAGACTTAAATAAGAAGACACCTCAGTAGTACAGAAGTCCAATGCAAAGTATTTATGGCATGCCTAGACTTTGTGTTTAAAAGACTTTAGGCATAAACCGCAGGTACAAGGACATATTGCATAAGCCATCGCATGCTCGCTGCCACTGAGTGAATGTTATTGGATTTTGAGAAGCTACAATGCTGAATAATTTAGAATCTAATAAAATATTCAATTTTACTGATACATTGGCTTCATTTTAAAATTAAAAAAAAAAAAAAGGCAAATAGTGGTGAGAACAGGTCCAAGTCAATGAAAACAATATATTACTCATTAGGATAACACTTGTTCTATTAAGCTTAGGGAAGGCGCAACCGGGATGAGACAAAGGTCTTCAGCCCCAAGAGGTTTGTTTGCCTTCCCAGCGCTCAGCGCTCGGAGGGACAGAAGCAGCCCCACAAAGAGCATCAGTCCCTGCCTCCGGAGGGTTCCCTCATTGCTTCCCGGGCACTGGTGGGGGCACAGAGAGCTTCTTGTGATGGGAAAAGGGGGGCCGGTGGCGGCAGCGGCTACCGTTCTCCTCCCACCCTGCCTCACGCCGCTGCTAGCTGAGCTCCGGCAACTTTTTTTTTTTTCTTTTTAAATACGAAAACGGAAAACCCACGTAACCATCAGTGGTTATTTCCAATAATAATAAAGAAAACCAGGAAACCTCTAAAGTTGGCTTTTGGGACTTTTTTTTTTTTTTTTTTTTTTTTTTCCTCTCCTCCAGCGGGGGAGGCACAAAAGACGGAGAAGGCGCCTCTGGTGCTCCGTCTGGAGATGCCCTAGTTAAGGAGAGGCGGGTCGCCTGCCGAGCGCTGCTCAGCGCTGCCGCGATGCCGTACCCCCGGACGTGCCCGCGAACTGCTCCGCGCTGCGCTGGGTACGCGGCTCCCAGCCCGATGGCTGGGGGCGGAGAGGCAAGAAAAAGAGACGTGCACAGCTCTGCGGGTATTATCAAATCTTCTCAGCAGCTCGTCTAGATTAATCTCTCATGGTAGCTCTTCCCTCACACAATAATTAAGCATAGTTTCTAAACAGAACGTGCCGGAGGAGGGCTCGCTTGTCGGCTATTTAGAACGCAGGCAAGTATTTTATCTGTAAACGGCAGTAAGAGAAAAGCCGCGGCGGAGGCGCTCCACGACCCGCCCCCGGACTCCGCGCACTTGGGCGCCGACTTCGAGAGAGCCGCGACCCGACGCGTCCCCGTCGCTCACCTCGGGCAAGGCGCGGCGCCGTCAGGCTCCCGCAGAGCACCAGCCAGGCCAGCACCGCACGGCTCATCCTCCTCTTCTCCCGCAGCCGCGCCGCTACTACCGACGGAAAAGCAGCAGCAGAGCCTCCTCCTCCTCCTCCTTCTTCTCTTCCTCCGCCTCCTCCTCCTCCTCCCCGAGATGCAAGAGGCGAGGCTGGTCCCTCCCGGCGCGGCCCCGGGCCGAGCGCTGCTCCCGCTGCCGCCGCCCTACCAGCAATGAGCAGGCTGCCCCGCCGCGCCCGCCAGGTGCCGCCGCCGCGCCTCCAGCCTGGCCGGCGCACCCGCCTCCGTCCCGTCGCTAAACCCGCTCCGAGCGGCTCCCGAGGGGCGGTGCCGGTGGCAGGCGGTGCTGCCCGGCCGCGCCCCGACACCTGCTCCGCCCCCGCCGAGGCGGGGAGCGAGGTGTCCCAGGACCCAGTCTGGGAACGGGCAAAGTTAGATGTGGTTGGGGTCGGGCATTTGTGTTTTGCTGCTGCACTGCTTGGTATTGTCTTGATGGCCCTCTTCCCGCGGAAGTCCCGCTGCCGGAGGTACAGAGGGAAAGGTGAAAGTCCTGCCTTCCAGTAGTGAATGGGAGTTTCATCCTAAATCAGTGTCCTTCCTTCCTCCCCCTGCCGCAGACTGGGTGTCAGCCTGTCCCACACAGCAATCCCCGCAGGAAAGCAGAAAGCGGTGAATTCACCGACATGTAGAGGATGAAGGGGGCAAAGGTCTTACATGGTACCACTGCTGGCAGCATGGGTGCTGCTTTTCCTGCCTGACCTGTACAGGTTGACGATAGAGCTAGAAGGGTCAAGTAAGCACTGATAGTCCAGTGGGAGACAATAGACTCTTCATATATTTGTATTTTGCATCACCTCTAGTGAAAGAGCCCGTGTTAGTACTGAATTAAATGTTAATGTAGTTACGGAGTGAGAAGAATGCACTTGACAGTATCAACCTGATGCATATGACAGGGAGATACCACGGAATGACCTGCTAAGTCATCCCTCCTGATGGCTAACATCGCACAGCTTCCAACGTCTCCTTACAAGCCCTTTGTCTGCGTCTAAGTGCCGGTAAGTGGCAGGGTGACAGCTCTTCCCTAAAGCTCTGCTTTTACTTCTGAGCCTGCAATTAAATGCATTTTCCTCTGACACTGGAGGTATTTCAGTTCCTACACACCGCAGTTTCAGGACAGAATTACAAGGATCAGGTTTTTTTGTGGTGGTTAAGCAATGAAATTACTAGAAATAACACACTTCGATAAAGGGCACTCCACACCCAGGACTCCAGAACATTTTCTGCTTGCTTGCAGGGCACAGGTGCATGCAGACACCCACTTCACCCAGCACAGGGGTGTGAGGCTCCATGGCGCACTGCAAAATTACCCAGCAGGTTAGGCTAGCTAGAGGAAAAAATTCCTCCCTCCACTAATGAAGCCCGCAGTAGCAGTGATATTCACACAGACTTTCTTCCAGCACATCTCTGAACAAACAATAGCTGGTAGCATTCACCAAAACTTTTCTGTATCTTCTGTGCACATGCTGCACACACGTCTTCGTGCACTGAGGTTGCATCTACTTAAGTGACTGTGATGTTAGTAGTGTCCATGCCAGAGACCTCCCTGAAGAACTCCTGTCTAGGAAAAAAATATTTAGTTTTCTCCTGGAGAGCTGCTCTTCTATCAGTGCAGAGATAGGGGATGTTTAGGAAGCCTTTACAAAGCTTCTGATATTAATGCATCATTTCTCCACAACGGTGCTAATTTTACGGCTTATCTCTGTTTTACATCCAAGAACCCAGCTGTTATAATTCCAAGCCAAGCTGCACTTCAGCTGCTGTGGCAGCCCAGCATGCCTGCACCCCCAAGTGGCTGGCTTGCTTTTTTTATTATTTATTATTTTTCTTGTGGGAGTAATCCCATGATGTAGCCCCTTTGCTTCCTCAATTAGGATAAATCCGAAGGGCTCAACTACGTTTGGTACTGGGAGGCCTTCCACTGAGAGCCTGTGACTAACAGCTGACTAAAATGACACAGCTTCTTCAAAGCAAGGCGTTGTTTATTCAGCCAAAAGCATCGAAATAACAAAAGACTTTTATGTTTGGTTCTTACCTAAAGTGCAATGCCTTTTTGTTTTCAGATTTTGAATAAGTTTCATTCAGCAGCATCTCTCTATCCCACTTCAGACTACCAGACCACTCTCATGTCCTTATCGCTGCCCTTTGAACCTGGCTCCCTCCAAAGGCTGTTCTCTGCTGCTTGCTACAAGTAATGAGAGTTTTACCCCATCATGCTGTGCTGTTATTAAGCAATGCATCAAATTTGTGTACTCCATCACCAGCATTGTGCTTGAGGTCGCTGCAACTCCAGCATCTCTGCCTTCAGTGACCATCCCTTGACCTGACCTGGTTGGAAGACAGGTTGGTATGATGCTCTTCTTTTACTGTTGTTCAGAAATGGTGGATTGGTGTTGTTGGTTGGGCATGCCTTTATGGAACTAATGCCCTCACCTAAGCTGCCTTCAGCTACAGTTATGTTAACATAGCTTCCTTACAAGGTGCAAGATTTAGGGAGTTTTCTTTCCAGATTTCAGATGACAATTTTGAAAGCTAGCTTTCCCTTATTTGTTTACTATCTGCTAATGTTTAATGACTTCCCTCCCTTCCTTCCTTCCTTCCTTCCTTCCTTCCTTCCTTCCTTCCTTCCTTCCTTCCTTCCTTCCTTCCTTCCTTCCTTCCTTCCTTCCTTCCTTCCTTCCTTCCTTCCTTCCTTCCTTCCTTCCTTCCTTCCTTCCTTCCTTCCTTCCTTCCTTCCTTCCTTCCTTCCTTCCTTCCTTCCTTCCTTCCTCCCTCCCTCCCTCCCTCCCTCCCTCCCTCCCTCCCTCCCTCCCTCCCTCCCTCCCTCCCTCCCTCCCTCCCTCCCTCCCTCCCTCCCTCCCTCCCTCCCTCCCTCCCTCCCTCCCTCTCTCCCTCTCTCCCTCCCTCCCTCCCTCTCTCCCTCCTTCCCTCCCTTCCTCCCTTCCTCCCTTCCTCCCTTCCTCCCTTCCTCCTTATTTTTCATCATTATTTTTTTTCCCCTACAGTATTTCTCATCACTCCTAATTTATTCACCCTTTGGAGTCATGCAGCACATCAAACAAACAAAAAAATGATAGCCATTACAAATGGAGGCAGCTCTATCATTTGCTATGCTCACCTTGGATAAAAAGCCTTCCATAAAGCAACAACAAAGTTCAGTGCACAAAAGTAGCCTATTTTTAGTATAAGAAATGTAATGGTACTGAACTGTTACTTTAGTAACAGTAATGTAAAGTCTAATACGTGTTACATGGAAGGTAAACCAAGTCACTCCTGTATGTGCTGCAGTTGTAAAGAGGTAAGAGACTAAGAGTTTATCATTCGCTAACCTTTTGTCAATTTTGGAAGTCACCAAGTAAACATGAATGTAATCTTTGAATTACCCTGCGATGGCTTTAGGGCATCTTAGGTTCTAGCTTTGTTTAGGAGATTAGCTTTATCACTGACTCCCATCAAAGCAGTGGTCAGATTTGAGCCTTCTTAAAGTGAGAGATCAGACAAACTCAGAGCGCAGGGTGTACAGACTCGGATTGTATTGCCACCTCAATTATAATTAAGGCTATAAAAAAAACCACTGATATAGAGCAGTAGATCTTTCCATAAAGTTCTCTAGGAATGTGTATTGTGTTCATCAGAGATTTTCCACGCACCAAGCACTGTAAATGGCTACTCTGATTTTGCAAGTCATTGGCATATATTTGCCTCAGAGAAAAGAAGAACAAATATGTATGTCTATCATCACCACTGCAACACTGCTGGAACTATCCTGCTTCTAAATAAGAAATAGTTCATCCTTTCATCTCTTCTGAAATAGAGATTGAACCCCCACTTCTCGAACATGCAAGGTTTCCAGTAAAGTCAGTGTGATTTTTTTGTGAGTGAAGCATGGAGGATCCCTCTTCTCTCAAACCTTTCTGGTTCAAAAGAAATGTCGTGCACTGCTGCATCACAGGAAAGGGAGAAAGGGGGCTGCACAACACAGGGAACCTCTCAAACGCAGTGTAAAAAAATGTATATATATATTTTTTTTCCTTCCCTCTTCTGTACCATTGATTCTCCTTTTTGTTTTTTTTTTTTTCCTTTTTCTTTTTTTTTCTCTTATTCTAGAAAATATACAGCAAAACCAGAGCCATAATTGGGTTTGATTTCATTTCTTTTATCTTATAAATAAGCTTTCTCTGAATGCAGATGACATATTTAAGAATCCTGTGGAATGGCTGAATGTCTGAGTATGTTTTTAAATGAATCCTTTGCCACCCATAACATGAACATGTAATGTGTATGAGAACATAGAAGAGGAAATGGGTGCACAGGCTAAGGTGCAAGAGTAACCCCTGAAATGAGGCATTCCTACATTTTGTCTATCATCCTTCTGCACGCCACTAGAGTTCTGGAACTTGGTGCTAATTAATTTCAGCTGAAATTATTCCCTACTCACTTGTGAAGGGAAGACAGACAACAATTCAGATTTATGGGAATGGAGAACAGTGGTTATGTTAGATGCAGTGAGATAAGTGTAGAGGCACAGCACTAATGCACATGTGTCTGTTCACTGCTTCAGCAGACACATCATCACCAACACCACCTGGTTTATCTGCTTTCTGCATAGAAAGGTGTGAATTTAATGCTAATGTCACTTAACATCAGCAGTATGGAAGAATAATAAGAGAAAGATACACCCAGAAAGGTGTTACTGGCAGCAAATGGCACAGGGTGGGTGTTTGAATGTGGGAGCAATTGGTGGGATGATGGGACCAGTGCCAGCAGCCAGCAATTCTGAGTAAGTTCTAAAGCTCTGGGGGAAACCACTGCTCCTGAAGGGACATAGAATACTCACGGTATCCATGATGCTACCTGCCCCATGCTCTGTTGCTCACACCATTTATAGAGCATATACTGTATAAAATATTGCACTTGGGAGGAGTGGCTGACATGCCAGAAGGCTATGCTGCCATCCAGAGAGACCTGGACAGGCTGGAAAGTTGGGCAGGGAAAAATTTAATGAAATAAAACAATGTCAAGTGTTGCATCTATGCAAGATCAACCCCAGGTACTAGAATAGGATGGGGACTGATCTGTTGGAGAGCAGCATAGGGGAAATGGATCTGGGGGTCCTGGTGGACAGCAGGAGCCAGCACTGTGCCCTTATGACCAAAAAAGCCAATGGCATCCTGGGGAATAGGTGTGATTAGAAGGGGTGTAAATAGTAGGTTTT